TGGTCTATTAGTCCTTTGGACTAATCTTTTCCTTGTATCCTGTTCTCTTCATTCTCGCTTGCTCCCGAAGGGGTGAGACCAGTGGAGTATCTTAGATGGCTGCTGACAGGCTTTTAAGATCCCAGATGCTACTCACCAAGGTAGAATGTAGAACATTGTCTTTATAAACTGTGTTATGCCAGTTGAGCTGGATGTTCTCCGAGACCATGGAGAAATTGAGCTTATTTTTAACAGCTCCTTGTTATCGCGTAGCATGAATATCCCAGAGTTCATTTCACTCTCCTTCTGAGGATGAGTGTTTGACTCGTTTCTTTTAGGATTGTGGGGGACTTTGAAAATCAGTGCTACTGTGAACATCCTTATACATGTATTTTGGAGAGTTACTGATCTATCTATCTGGACTTTATTTGATGTTTGAACTAAAGACTACATTTATTTACTTTATACATTACTAAGTATCATAGAAGGAGCCCTGTGGTACAATGGTTAAAGGCTCGGCTGCTAACCAAAGGTTGGTGGTTTGAACCCACCAGCAGCTCCATGGGAGAAAAGACCTGGCAATCTGCTCCCATAAAGACTTGAAGCCTAGGAAACGCTATGGGGAAGTTCTGCTCTGTCCCGTAGGGTTAACTATGAGTCGGAATCGACCTGACAACACACAACAACTGTCATAGCATCATTTCCTGAATAAACTTTCCCTTTTTCCTTCAGTGGAACTGAAGCTGGGAAGGGTTTGGATAGATAGAAAGGAGAAGGAAGGGAATTTTCAGAAGAGAGAACACTTCATGTATCATGATAAACTCGTGTGTGTAGTAGGATTTGCTCCTGGGCTATTTGTCAGTACTGACTATGGTTCTGATTTATCTTCACTGGGCCAGACAGCTATGCCGGTGGGAGACTGAGGAGGCAGCTGGGATACCCCCGTGAGTGGGACCAGGGCTGGCGGGTGCTGACCCTCACATATGTCACTGTCCAGCTTCTGACTGTGCTGCTCCTTCTCTGCCCCCAGTACCTGTTCCTGCTCTTCCCAAGGATCATCTTCTTCCTGGGGTTTGTCTTGGTGCTCAGCTTCCTCCTGGGGGGCTACCTATGCTTTGCTCTGTACCTGGCTGCCACCAACCAGACCACTAATGAGTGGTACAGAGCTGGCCGGGCCCCACGCCAGCATTGCCGCCACGAGGCCCAGCCCCTATCAGCAGAGCCCCAAGTTTTCCAGAACATTCACTCCCACGGGGTTTGGAGCAACCTTCGAGAGGTCTTCCTCCCTGCTACACGTTATGAGAAAAAGAAGAAATAAGAATGGGAAGACTGTCACTGCCTTTTGAATATAGTATATTTATTTATACATATGGATACTTATTTTCTGTGCATGGTTTGTTTTTTGTTTTCTGCTTTGTGTTTATGAATCGGCTTTCAGTGGGTAAAGAAGGGAAGGGACAAAGATTGTTTATTGATCTTTGCCAGATGCCAGGCCAGGTCCTGGGGTGGAAATCCAACCAACTCATCCTCTGTGCACTCAGGCTATTTGCACTGAACATTGCTGAAGGCCTAGTGCAGAGACATCAGGAGATGACACCTCAGAAGTTCCAGCTAATGCTGCTACCTTGTCTGCCACCCTAGACTCTAGGCTCCCGGACGAAAAAGAAGCTAAACCTGTTGATGCGGAGACGATTCCGACTCACGATGAACCCATGTGTTGCAGAGTAGAACTGTTCCATGGGGTGTTCTTGGCTGTAATCTTCATGGAAGCAGATCATCAAGCCTTTCTTCTGTGGCGCCACTGGGTGGGTTTGAACTGCCAACCTCTAGGGTAGCCGGTTGGAAACCACTTGCGCCACCTGGGCTCCTGGATAGGAGTGGCCTTGTGGCTGTGTTCCCTGGGTGTAGGAGCTTCTCAGCGAGTTGGACCTGGCTTCATCCTCTTTTATGCCCTTCTGGATTCTCGCTATGAGTCAGAATTGGCAACAGATTTTTTGGTTTTTGGATTCTCCCTCCCACCGCCCCCAGAGAAAGCCGTGGCTTCTTTTCCATCTCTGTAACCACACCCAGTAGCCTCACCCCGCCCGCCCTTGGCCAGCATAGCCCTCCTACACAAGCGCATGCTTGCGGCCTCCTGTCTGTCCCTGCGCTGGCCCCTTCTGGCCATACTAAAGTCTTTTATGCCCGGTATTAAAAAATCCAAAATTAAAGCCCCAGCCAGTTCAGTGCAGAGATGAATACCGGGAAAGAGGTTCATAGAAAGTACTGAGGGGCTTTGCGGGGAGGGGGAGTATTCAGAAGCATAGAGCAGGTAGGCTGGGCCTTGCAGGACCCCTAAGCTTTCATGGCCCTCTCAGGCCAGGCCCAGAGGCCAGCCTTCAGAGACCCAGACCACCCTGGAGGGGGGTGGGAGATAAGGGACCCTGAGGACAGGTACTGGGAGTCAAGGGTAAGAGGCCATAACAGGCACCACATGTCAGAGCAGACCTTGGAGTTAAGAAACAGATTCCATCTTTTAAGCTGAGTTGCTGAGGCCCGAAGGAACCCAAGTCTGCCTCCCGAGCCAGGGCCCTGCACCCCGACTCTATCCGTGCTGGCGGAGGCTGTGAACGCCGCGCAAAGAAGCTAGGGGAGCCAGATTGATTTGTGAATGGAGGGCGCCCGATCAGTGGAGCGTTCCCTCGTGGGTGTGGTACCACCCGCTGGCCGCTCTGCGTGTGCTCGGTTCTAGGATGCTCCCCAGGTCATTCTTTGGCGTGAAGGTGGCCTCGTCGCCCGGCGGCGGGGCCTGCGGCCCTAGTCCCGCCCGCGCGGTCTCACCGCCAGGGGGTGCTCTCCCGAGCGCGTTCTCTGCCCAGCCTGGCTTGGCCCCTGCGCGCTGCCGTCGCCGCTCCCGGCGTTCCGCCGCCGTTCGGCCCCGCCGCGTCTGATTCCCGCGGCTCCAGTGGCGCCGTAGTTGGACTCCGGGCGCCCGCTTTCCGGCGGCAGCGGCGGCGGTGATGGCCTCCTGAGCGGGCCCGGAGCAGGGAGCGGCGGGCGCCCGGGTCGAGGGCGGTGGGCAGGCGGAGGCCGGGTCGCGGCCCTTTGTCTCCGCGGGCGGAAGTTCGACGCGCTGCCGGCGCCCGGCTCCGGTGGGCGGCGGCACCATGAGCGACATCCGCCACTCTCTCCTGCGCCGCGACGCACTGAGCGCCGCCAAGGAGGTACTCTACCACCTGGACATTTACTTCAGCAGTCAGCTGCAGAGTGCGCCGCTGCCCATCGTGGACAAGGGCCCCGTGGAGCTGCTGGAGGAGTTCGTGTTCCAGGTGCCCAAGGAGCGCGGCGCGCAGCCCAAGGTGCGGCGGGGGTGCCGGGCAGCCAAGGACCGTCCTATCCCACCCACGGCGGTCCCCTCGGCCCTTTGCAGCCGGGTGACTTTGCTGACCGTGTCCACGATGCGCACATTAGTTCTTTTTTTTGCCCTCTCGGTGACAGGTATTTGCCAAAACAAAAAATATTTCGCGCTAGGGGCTCCATTCTCAGCTTTGATCACCTTGCTTCTTCAGCCGTCTTCTCTGGAGTGCCGAGGCATTGCTCAGCTGCGTGCCTGTTTTGCAGCGATTGTGGCAGCCGTGTCTCCATGGTGCTAAAGGAAGAGGCTTTGGGTACTGCCCCCTCACTTCACTAAAAACGTGTTATCCTGTTATCAAGAGTCCAAACCGTTGTGGATCGTCCTGAGGCTTCCAGAATGGTGTCTAATGATACATAATGACTTTTTCTAAGATTAACTGTAGACTTACTGCTCTCTGGGATCTGGGCTTCAGCAGAATGAAAAGTAGTGCCCTGGAGAAAAGAATGTATTTTCTGTTTTTTTGCTGTATGAATTAATAAATGTGTTAGGGCCAGATTTCTTACTGCTTCTTCTGGATTTGTTTTGCAGAGACTGAATTCACTGCAGGAGCTTCAACTTCTTGAAATCATGTGCAATTATTTCCAGGAGCAAACCAAGGACTCCGTCCGGCAGATTATTTTCTCCTCCCTTTTCAGTCCCCAGGGGAACAAAGCTGATGACGGCCGGATGAGCTTGTTGGGAAAACTAGTCTCCATGGCAGTGGCAGTGTGCCGAATCCCCGTGTTGGAGTGTGCAGCCTCCTGGCTCCAGGTAAAACCACTGGTTGCCATCAAGTCAGTTCTGACTCATGGCGACCCCATATGTGTCAGAGTACAACTGTGCTCTGTAGGGTTTTCAGTGGCTGGTTTTTTGGAAGTAGATCGCTATGCACTCCTCCCAGGGACTCCCTGACTCCAGGTGCTTCTCTAGAATTAACCTTCCTGAGAGTCTCTGATGAGGAGTTTATTGTCAGGAATTTTCATTTGGTTGGATTTCTGAAGGGGCGTTTTCCACATGTTTCGTCTTTGATCATCATTGTCCTGTAGACTGATTTATTTTATAGTACAGGTAGTAACTCTTTTTGAGAAAACAGTAGTTTGTAACCGTAAAAGGGTTCATCTTCTCATCTTCAGAACAAGTGAAACATTTTTTTTTTTTAGGTGAAAACTGTATGGTAGGATTTGCAAAATAGCTATGCAGACAGACTCAAAGATAGGATTCTTTTTTTTTTTTTTTTTTGAGATCGTTATATATCGAATTGTGGCAGTGTTTATCTGTTTTTCCAAAAAAACTAAACCCATTGCCGTTGAGTCGATTCCAACTCATAACAACCCTATAGGACAGTAAAACTACCCCATAGGGTTTTTAGGAGCAGTTGGTGGATTCAAACTGCTGACCTTTTGGTTAGCAGCTGTGGCTCTTAACCACTGCGCCACCAGGGCTTCTGTTATTAGGAGGCTGTTTTCTATACAGGTAGATCAGTAAACATGTGGGTTGTTTCACGTTACTGTTTTGTCATGTCATAGGGTGACATTAAGGAGCCCTAGTGGCATGGTTAAGTGCTTGGCTACTAACCAAAAGGTTAGCAGTTCAAACCCAACATCAACTCTGTGGGAGAAAAGACCTGGCGATCTGCTCCTGTAAAAATTACAGCTTAGGAAACCCTATGGGACAGTTCTACTCTGTCCTATAGGGTCTATGAGTTGAAATCGACCGGATGGCACACAGAAACATTAACAACAACACAGCAATATTAGAAAGTTGATAGCTCTTCTAGTGGGTATGCCCGGGTGGCTCAGTGCTTATGAGCTCCACTGTTAACCAAAGGTCGGCAGTTCAAATCCACCAGCTACTCCTTGGAAACCCTATGAGGCAGTTTTACTCTATCCTATAGCGTCGTTATGGGTCGGAGTTAACTTGACAGCAACAGGTTTGGTTTGGTTTTTGGTCTAGTGAATGTAAGAGCCTTCTAGAGTTTTGTTAAATATCAAAGAAAAAACTGTGTATTTGGAATTTAGTGTTAGGTGAAATTTTGGAAGACTCATTTCATTTTGCTTTTCTGCTGTATAGAGTCTCTGAAAAATTGATAATCCACTTAGGATAATTATTAACCAAATTTTTGTACTAACTTGGTTCTTAGCCAAGCTAACAGAATTTTACTACACGTTTTTCCTTTTCAATTTAATTAAATGTTTTTCTTGTCATTTGTAGTAAAGCTCAGTGGAGTCTGAACCTTAATTTTCACCAATCCAGTTTCTAGAGCATATGAATTGATCATGTATTGTATTTAACCTCAGTTTTACCTTTATTCCTTCACAACATAGTGAAACCAAGTTTAGCATTTCTGATTCCTCATATAAGTTTTCCATTTACCTTTTATGCTGCTGTTATTGATGGCATTTTGGCCAAATGAAAGCAGATGTCAGTGGCAGGAAAGGGTCTTAGTGGTTTGGGTCAGGGTGTTCCACCCTGGGACGAACTTCCTCCTGAGGAGAGGCAAAGAAATTAGAGTTCTTAATGGCAGCTTTGGCGTTGTGGAGGCAGATGACAGCCTGAATGCAGTCTGGCCTTGCTGTCTCCTTGTAGTCCTTCTGTGGGGCCAAGTTGGGGCCCTGCAGCTGCTGCATCTTGAGCAGCTATTGAATGTGGCAGTTGCTACAGACTGACAGATGCATGGAAAAAGGCAGGGGAGGGTGATGTCAGACTTGAAAGTATCATAGAAGCCTGCTGAGAAGGATGGGATTGTAAGAGGAATTTAGAAAGTACTGCTCTAAACAAACATTTTGATCATGTGGTTGTTCACAAGCTCCTAAATCTTTTCAAAGTGAAAGCAACTGTTTAATTCTTATTTGTGGAGTTAAAACGCTTTGAATTTGTAGGATTACAGAAATTGTCATTTCTTCACTTGACATCAGAAATGATCTTTCGTAAGTAAACTTGAAAGCAGGGGGTCAGCAGACTTTTTCTATAAAGGGCCAGATAGTAAACATTTTAGTCTTTGCAGGTGTCACAGCAAGAGTAGCTATAAATAACAGGCAGACCAATGAGCATGGCTGTGTTTCAATAAAACTTTCAATAAAATCAGGCGGTGGGATAGCTTTGGTCTGTGGGCTTTAGTTTGCTGTCCCCTGCTTTAAAATAAGGCTTCACATCTTTTCTCCCTCGTGGAAGTGATTCTGCCAGCTCTGGTGGTCTTCACTATGTGTACATAGTTATAGTGGTTGGGGGAGTGTTGGCTCACAACACCTGTAGTTACTTAGATTGTGGCTTCTTTGCAGCGGACGCCTGTGGTCTACTGTGTGAGGTTAGCCAGGGCCCTCGTGGACGACTACTGCTGCCTGGTGCCAGGATCTGTGCAGACGCTGAAGCAGACCTTCAGTGCCAGCCCTCGCTTCTGCTGCCAGTTTGTGACGTCCGTCACCGCGCTTTATGACCTGTCCTCAGGTAAACTTTAAACTGATTGTTGCTGTTAAAGAGGCTTCAGCTAACTGCCAGTTTTATACTCAGGTGAAGTGTCCAATGAGTGCTTTGGCCTTTTCCCCTCTGAAGTATGTGTTTTTATTTTAGGCCAAAAGCTAAAGGTGTGTGCAGGCTGTCTGGGCTTATGCAGTTTGCTAAGCGGGAGCTTTGCATTGTGGTACCCTGACTTGGAATGGTAAGAGGCGCAGAAGGTCCCCAAAGTCAGGGTCTGTTATCTGGGTGAGATGTGGCTCTCTGCCCAGGCTCTGCTGTTCGAGTCTTTGTCTCTAGACATGTGACTTACTTTTTTATCCCCCAATTTTTATTTTGAAAAATTTCAAAACTTGAGAAAAGTTGCCAGAATAGTATAACAAACATTCATGTACTTCTCACCCACATTTATGAATTACAGTATTAGCATTTTGCTGTATATCCTTTCTGTCCCTCTCTTGCCCCCCCTTCTCCATACACACAAACACGTTTTTCCTGGACTATTTGAGAGTTGTTGCCAATATCACATACCAAATACTTCAGCATGTATCTGACGAGAGCAAAAATATTCTCTTACATAACCGTGATATCATTGTCACATCTAAGAAATTTAATACAGGTAGTCTCCACCTTAACAACAGGGTTCTGTTGCAACAACTCTGTCATAAGTCGGTTCTGATGTTTTTTTTTTTTCTAGTTTCCATTATTATTACTTTTTATTATCAGTATTTTTATAAAACCAATTTTTATTTATTTTTGGGAATTGGCTTGAGAATGATAACATCAGCAAATCACATGCTGCAACATTGTATGTCGTACGTATTACAACGATAAGATGGGAAAAAAAAACAAAGAATGGTCATGGTATGGTTTGTCATAACTTGGATACGTTGTGAGTCGAGAACTACCTGTATTGATGGAATACTATTATCTAATATATAGTCTATATTCAGATTTGCCCAATTATCTCAGTAATATCTTTTATAGTCTTTTTTTCCTCCTTTGGGCGGTGGAGAGAATTCAGGATCCAATCAGGATCTTGCATTATAAACAGTTGTCACGGCTGTTTGGTTTTTTAAAAATCTAGAACAGCTCCCCAGCAGTTAAAAAAAACAAAAACAAACTTGTACGGCATTGACATTTTTGAATCGTTGAGGCCTCTTATTTGGCAGAATGTCCCTCAATTTGGATTTGTCTGGTTGTTTTCTTATGAGAAGGTTGGAGTTAGACATTTTTGGCAGCAGTGCTGCATAGATGATGTTACGTTGTGCTAGAAGGCATGTATGTCAGTTTGCTTTATTATTGGTGATGTTTTTGAGACCTCCTTAGCTGGGTGCAAGAGGCCCTCAGGGAACCCCTTAGATGGCATGTAGCTTCTGCTGGGAGAAGCCTATGTCCCTCCCCCCGTCCAGCAACAGAGCCCTCCGAAATGATAATCATTTTTATGCAGACTCCCAGTCAAGACAGGAGCGCTGGTGGCACAGTGGTTAAGAGCTCGGCTGCTAACCAAAAGGTCTGCGATTCGAATCCACCAGTGGCTCGTGGGAGAAAAGACCTGGCTATCTGCTCCTGTAAAGATTATACCCTTGGAAACCCTATGGGGCAGTTCTACTCTGTTGTATAGGGTCACTATGAGGCAGAATCGACTTGATGGCACCCAGCAACAACAAAAATCAAGACAACACATAGAAGGCGAACAGCTCTGATTGATTAGGGCCGAGGTCATACCCTCAGGAGAAAAGGTGTCTCCTGAGACAGAACGTTGGAAACCATATACCAGGTTGGATCTCACTCACACCACCCTCTGCTTTCCCGTACTTGGCTTTGGTTCACTCAGCAGCCTGGAAGGGCTCTCGTTCTTCACCGTAAGCTGTGGAGTGCACACAGCCAGCCTGTGGGCGTTGCTCACCCATTCCAGGCTGGACAGTGCTGCCTAGTGTTAGAGAGCAGGCTTTGAGCCAGGCCCATCATATACTTCTGATGAGGCCTAGGGCAAATGACCCAACAGCCCTGTGACTCAGTTTCTTTGTCTTTTATATGGGTATAATACATGGGCTTGTTGGAGGATTAAAGAAGTTCACCTGTGCAAAGGACATAGACCAGTGCCTGATGCAGAATCAATGTTAACAGTGGTTTTTATATCATTGTTCTCTGCTACGCTGTAGAAGAGGCCCGGGCTCAGGGGTCACAGGAGGTTAGGTTGGTGCTTAGACGAGGGCTTCAGGCTTGGGGCTGAGGATGGCCTTGGCAGCTGAGTGACATTGCTTGGACTCTGAGCAGCTTTCTGAAGGTTAGCTTAGCTGTCGCTGGGTGCCATGGCGGAGACACCAGACGGGGACAAATCCTATTCAAGAGGGTAGTTTTAGACATAGAAGGTATGACCTTGGATTTAAATTGACACATAGGACGAACTCTCTTCAAGGCCTAATGGAGTTGTAGGGGGTTCTTGGTTTAACAAATAATTCCCGAGCCCCCACCTTGGCCCAATAGTTCTGAGCACTGTGGCTGTAACAGTGAATGAGACAGGGTGTCAGTGCTCACGAAGCTGATGCCCCAGAAGGGAGACGAGCCTGTGAGCCTGTGACATGAGTGTCAGCTGGTAGGTCCTGTGGAGTCAGTGGTCCAGCCACCCACCTTCAGAGGTGGAAAACCCTTCTGACCTGATGGGTCTTTGCTTACAGATGACCTCATCCCACCTCTGGACTTGCTCGAGATGATTGTCAACTGGATTTTTGAGGACCCAAGGTTGATTCTCATCACTTTTTTAAATACGCCGATTGCAGCCAACCTACCAATTGGATTTTTAGAGCTCACCCCACTCACTGGACTGATCCGCTGGTGTGTGAAGGCACCTCTGGCTTATAAGAGGAAAAAGAAGCCCCCACTTGCCAATGGCCACCTCAGTAACAAAGTGACAAAGGACTCGGGCGTAGGCCTGGACAGGGATTCGCACCTCTTATACTCCAAGCTGCATCTCAGCATCCTGCAGGTCCTGATGATGCTGCAGGGCCACTTGACCGAGAAGAACCTGTATGGGCGCCTGGGCCTCATCCTCTTCGACCACGTGGTCCCACTGGTTGAGGAGATCAACAGGCTGGCGGACGAGCTGAACCCCCTCAATGCCTCCCAGGAGATTGAGCTTGCACTGGACCGACTTGCACAGGCTCTGCAGGTGGCCATGGCCTCCGGGGCCCTGCTGTGCACGCGAGGTGGGTGCTTTCTTGGCCAGGCCTTCCTGGGGGTGAGGCTCATACACCACCCTTGTTTTCTGCTGCTTTTAGGGCTGCTTTTCCTCTCAGTGAGCACAGGGGAGGAGGGCGGGGGTCACAGAGCATGCCCCACTAGAGTAATCTAACCCATCCCTGCACCCACCTCCACCAAATGCTCCCATGCTGTCACCATGTCATCTGCAGTGTGTCCCAGTCTTTCTGCCCAGGACTGGAAGCTCCTTCAGAGCACAGGTGTTTCCCCATTGGGGGTCCTTTCTTCTTTCTTGGCGGTCCTTTTTATTGAGGCATCGTTGTTGTGTGCAGTCGAGTCAATTCTGACTAGTACTGACCCCATGTGACAGAGTAGAACTGCCTCATAGGGTTTTCTAGGCTGTAGTCTTTATGGAAGCAGATCACCAGGCCCTTTCTCCCGTGGAGCTGCTGGGTGGGTTCCAAGTACCCACCTTTGGTTAGTAGCCGAGCGCTTAACCATTGTGCCACCAGGACTCCTTGAAGCATCATTTACATACAACAAAATGCACAGATTTAAGTGCAGATTTTTGACAGATTATGTACTTGTATAACCATTGCCCCAACCAAGGCATAAAATAGTGTCCTCATTCCTACTTCTCTGTTTAAATGCTTGAACTCTCTGAGGAGAGTGATCTGGCTAACAACACACATGGGTTTGCTCTTTAGCTGTTGGCTCGCTCACAAGGGCTTCCTGTGGTCCACATGATGGTCAATGGTGATAGGTTTCCCCTCTTACCCTGCTTTTAGAATGCCTGGGGCTCCTGCCTTCCTAGGGACCCGGACTGGGAAAACACGTCTCTCTAACCTCTCGGTTTTCCATGGGTGCTGAGCTGATGACCAAGCACAGCAGCCCCATTTCTCCAGGGTTTGCAGGGAGAATGGTGGGCAGTGGTGGGGTATCTTTCTGAGATGAGCTGGGGACAGTATTCACAAAACCCAGAAGCTCTGTTGGGCTGCACCCTGCCACCCCCATCCCATGCCTGTTGATCTACTTCAAGGCCTGCCTTTGGACCGTGTCCCAGCCATCTGGCAAATTGCCAGCAGGGTTGCCCCCTTCCCTAAGTGACTTATCCTGTTTGAGGCCTAGTTTGTTAAAACAAACATTGAAGAACAAGCAAACACCAGCTGTTTCTAAATGATGCTAGGAAAATGTCACGTAAAGCACTGTTATCTTGCTAGCCTCCTTGAGAAGGAAGCCAGCAACCAGTCACCTCATTGTCTTCAGGCTGTTACTTGACCATGCGTCTCCTTCATTTCAGATGACCTGAGAACCCTGTGCTCCAGGCTGCCCCATAATAAGTAAGTGCCCTCTTATAGCTTCTGTCTGGACTGGCAGTGCTGGCGGTACCAGGGTGCGGGTAGCAAGTGTGGTGGGTCTCTTCACTCCAGGTTCCTTCGGGAGAGCTTGTCTGCAGAGTTTGGAGCGTCTCTGTTACAAGAAGCCCCTTAAGGACTTGGTGATGAATGGGGAATGGAGATATGGGGTAACCCCCATGAGAGGAACCCTAAGTAGAGAGTAAACGTGAAAAAAAAAGTGGCCATCTTGTGGGGAGTCAAGGAATGAACCCAGAGTACACTTAAGGCATCATTTAAAACTTCCTGAATTAGCGTGCACTTATTTCATGGTGAGACTGGCCGTCTCTCACTCTGTTGGTGATGTGATTCACAACCCTTAGGAAGGTTCTGTGGAGCTTGGCTCCAGGGCACAGCGTGTTGGTTAAGTGGGCACCTGGCACCTGTGACACTTGGGCAAGACCTTAACCTTTCTTCAAGCCTTGGGTTCTCCCATGTAAAACGGGTACAGTGATACCGCCTTCCTCATAGGATTATTGTTGTTAGCTGCCGTTGAGTTGGCAACGCCTTGTACAGTGGAACAAAACGCTGCCCCGTCCAGTGCCATGCCTGTGATTGGTTGTGGATCAGACCATTGTGATTTGTGATCCATAGGGTTTTAATTGGCTGATTTTCAGAAGTAGATCATCATGCCTTTCTTCTTAGTCCATCTTAGACTGGAAGCTCCTCTGAAACCTGTTCGGCATCATAGCAACATGCAAGCCTCCACTGACAGACAGGTGGTGGCTGCACGTGAGGTGCGTTGGCTGGGAATTGAACCTGGGTCTACTGCATGGAAAGCAAGAATTCTACCACTGAACCACCAATATCCCCATAGGGTTTTAGTAAGGATGAAATGAGTTGGTGTTTGTAAATTTCTTAGCATAGTCCCTAGCAAGTGGAACTCTCTCCACAAATGGTGGTTATTTTTGTAAGTTTAGGAAAGCAGTAATAATAGTGGTGAGAAGCAGGAACTGGTTGGTCAGCGGATCCTGATAGGTTTTCATATCTGGCCTTGTTGTTTACTTTGTGCGACCTTGGGCAAGTTCTTTATCTCTCACTGCCTCAGTTTCTCATCTGTCAAATCAGAATAATCATAGTACCTGCTCCATGTCTCCTGCCATGGGACTTTAGTGAGGATGAAATGAGTGGAAATGTGTGAAGCACTTACAACAGTACTAGGTAGGTAGTAAGTATCTAAGAAGTGTTAGCTGCTGTCACTGTGACTATTATTTAAGTAACTTAGGAATTTCACTTCTGTGACTCTCAGAAAAGTAAAAAGCTGTGTGCACAAAAATGTTTCATGCAAATACAGTATTAAAAACAAACCAAACCCATTGCCATGAAGTCAATTCCGATTCATGGTCACCCCATGTGTTACAGAGTAAAACTGTGCTCCATAGGGTTTTCTTGGCTGTAATCTTTATAGAAACAGTTTGCCAGACCTTTCTTCCATGGAGTTGCTGGATGGGTTTGAACCACCAACCTTTAGGTTGGCAGCCAATCACAAAGCTGCTTGGGCCACCCGGGCTCCTAATGCAGTATTATTAGTAACAAAAACCTGGCAACAACATATCAATCAGTGATACAAGGTTACGTAGTAAATCAGGTGTCCTACATCAGCAGGATAGAACATTATGTATCCATTAAAAGTATTCATTGTGATAAAGGTGTCAGGAAATGCTTGTAAAGCTGGAGGCAATTGTGCATAAGCACAGGGCTTGCAGAAATGAGAATACTGAGTTTTGTTGGTGTATGCTGTCAAGGCGATTCCAACTCATAGCGACCCCATGTGACAGAGTAGAACTGCCCATAGAGTTTCCTAGTCTGTAATCTTTATGGGAGCAGATCACCAGGTCTTTTATCCCTCAGAGCGGCTGGTGAGTTCAAATCGCTAACCTTTTAGGCACCATTGTGCTACCAGGGCTCCAAATACTGAGTTAGGGTGGTAGAATTATTAATGTCCTTCTTTCTTCACACCATCATGCGGGCGCTTCATGAGGAATACTGGGGCTCCAGGGCTGGCGTGGGCAGAGGGTGAGTGAGCTGGGCCCAGCAGACTCAGAAAACCCATGTCCTCCAAGGCAGTGGATCAGCCCGGTGCCGACTCGTGGCTGACAGTGAGAGCGGCTGCAGCCAGAGGCCTGGTGCTGTCCTTGGGCCTGTCAGAGACCTGCAGTCCAGGCTGAGCTCTGTATAGGTTCTGTATGGGAGAGCAGCTTAGGGTGGGATGAAGGGACAGGTGTGAACACAAGAAGCGGGGTAGTTGGCGTCTGGTAGGGTGGAAGGGCCTGGATCAAAATTTTCTATCACAGAACAGCCATGCTGTCTGGAGGGCTCTTTCCCTCGGGAGCCCATTTGACTCTTTTTTTTTTAGGGGGGGGCTCTGAGAAAATTCCCAGGCATCTGAGGACACAGTTATTGTAAGCTGGTGTAAGTTATTTTTCCCTTTTTGCAGTAATCCCTTTGTCATATTTCACTTCTTTGTCTATGCTTTTTATTTAATGTTTTTGGGGCATTAACGTAACAATAGGGTGCACATCCTTCCATCATCATCTTGTTGTTAGCTGCCGTCAAGTTGGCCCCAGACTCATGCTGACCCCATCACAATGGGATCGGACTGTCTCTATAGGGTTTTCATTGGCTAATTTTTGGAAGTAGACTGCCAGGCCTTTCTTCCTAGTCTATCTTAGTCTGGAAGCTCCACTAAACCTGTTGAGCTTCACAGCAACATGCAGGCCTTCACTGACAGAAGGGTGGTGGCTGCACATAAAGTCCATTGGCAGGGAATTGAACCCAGGTCTCCCAGATGGAAGGCGAGAATTTCCCGCTGAACAACTGCTGCCCCCTATCATCAGCTTAAGGGTATTATAACCAGGGGTCCCTACCAGGATCCCCTCTAGAGCTTTGTCACACTGTCTGCTCCAGGGAGCCTGTGCTGCTTCTGCCATGTATCAGGAGAGCCACTGGGCCCCTTGGAACGTGCTGCTGACTGGAGGGGAAGAGCGAGAGCAGAGAGTAATTGGGAATCTTTGAGTTCTGATTGTCTCGTTAGTTGTCTTCCCGACTAGACGGGAAAGTTCTTGAGCTCCTGTCTATCTCTGGCAGAGTTTACAGGTTCAGAACACACAGACACACAGCTGAAAGTTTGCCTGTGTTGTCCTCCCTTCTTGGGTTTATTTATTTGTTTATTTTTTACCCCAAGCTCTAAAGAAATAGTTGTAGTTGTTGTTAATTGCCATCAAGTCAATTCCCATTTATGGTGACCTCATGTGTGCAGAGTAAAGTGGCTCCAGAGGGTTTTCAAGGCTGTAACCTTTCCAAAGCAGATCACCAGGCGTGTCTTCCAAGGCGCCTCTGGGTGGGTTCAAACCAGGAACCTTTTGGTTAGTAGCTGAGCACTTAACTGTTTGCACCACCAGGGATTCCCTAAAGAAACAGTATAGGTGAAAAGGGGCTCTTGAAGCTTTGGGCCCTAAAATGCACCAGCTTCCTTCATGCTTGCTCCTGCTGGGGATCTAAGCACCAGGCCTTGTGTTGGGTGGGCGGAGGTGAGGGCCTGTCTGCAAAGGACACGACCCCTTCTCACTACGAGCACAGAGTCTGGTGGGCAGAGGGTGGTTCAGGTTTACTGAGGGTGACGTGGCCCCGGACAGTGACATCACTGTGCCCACAGAGCAGTGCAGAGAGGCCAGCCTCAGGGAGAGGCTGGAGGGGGTAGCAGAGGGCATGAACAGGCTAGATGTGGTGATGTAGAGGACCGTGGGTGCACACCTGGCACAACCTGAGCAGAAGGCCTGAGGAGGTTGGGAGAGGAGCGGGCAGAGCTGGCCTGTCTGCGGCCCAGGCTTGAGGCAAGGAGGAAGGCAGGGATGGATGGGGGCAGGCTGTATCCTGAGCAGGGTGCCAGGGAAGTCTTTTCAATGAGGAAAGTGATGGTAGGGCTTAGCATATAATAGTCGGATATCAGGATGTGGCTCAGCTGAGGCCAGGGAAGGCTCGAGATGGCGACAAGAGTGAGGGTTCTCTGATGATAATCCTGGGGTGGGGAGTGTCAGAAAAGGGGAGACTGACAGGAGTCACTCTCAAGGGAGTTTTCTCAGGGACCCAGGATCAGTAGCTGACGTTGAGTTCCAGAGGGAAGAGGGTCTCCAGGTGCTGGGGCCACTGATAGCCTGGGCCATAACGAGAAGGCACACAGGAGGGGCAGGGTCTCTTGGGTTTGGGGGGCCATATGGGACCCTTGGAAACCTTGGTGGCATAGTGGTTAAGAGCTACGGCTGCTAACCAAAAGGTCGGCAGTTTGAATCCACCAGGTGCTCCTTGGAAATCATATGGGGCAGTTCTACTCTGCCCTATAGGGTCGCTATGAGTCGGAATCGACTTGATGGCACTGGGTTTGGTTTTTGGTTTTTTGGTGGGACCCCTTGGTGGAAAGGAGTTGGGAGGGAATGAGGAGGGCATACCTGCATTGGTATGGTGTGACAGCAGGAGCCGGGGAGGGGGGGCTCCCAGGGCGGGGGGATGCGGGGAGGCCGCTGCACTGGGGTGCAGAAGTCAGTGAGTAGGCAGGTCTGAAACAACATGGGGCAGGGATGTAATGGATCCCACTAGGTTAGTAAGGCTGCAACCCAGCCTAGGCCACCTTGAAGGGCAGGGCCTGTGTGGGGCTCTCGATTTCAGTGTCATTTTAAAGGCTGGCTTTCGTGTGGCTTAGTTTAGAATTCAGTCAGAGCTCAGTTGGTAAGGACTTTGAGGAGATTGTGCGTGGTGTCCTGTTTCCCCAGGAAAGGGCTTCCTGGGTGGAAAGCCCGCTGAGGCCTGTGCTGTCCCAGGCCATGAGGCGGGGTGCCGGGACTGCTGCTGCAGCAGAGCTGCAGGTGGACTGGAGACTGGACCGAGTGCGGGCCCCTCCTCCACAAGTCCCCTTGAGCCCCTGCATGCTGCCCACTCCCCCTCAACCTGGT